CTGATCTCTCCTCTCTTAGTTTAAAACCATTCCCCCTTGCCCTATCACCATCATCAGACCACGTAAAAAGTTGGTCTCGCTCCTGTTTATAAGCTCCCTTTAACCTATCCGTAGGTCACTGAGATCCTTGGATGGAAGGTGTGTATAGATGACTGAGTCACTGTCCTGTTACGTATGTGAGCTAAAAATAATCCACCATTTAAAGAGAAACAGGTAGGAAGTTTGAAATGACAGGTCTGATGTTCACAAAGATGACAGACAGATTCAAAGACAGAACTTAACTCATCACTGTTTTCATCTTAACCTCTTAACCACCTCATGCAGCAATTCCATTTGTTGTGAAATCAAAAGCCATCCTTGGACGTTGATGCTGGGAGACCAAGTCAAGCTGCTGAGAGCTCCAGAAGACAGCTCCACACTGGGAGAGAACAACTTTGCATTTTATGACATTTTACAAAATTATCAAGGACAGAGATAAAGCAAATATATATATATATATTTTTAAAGGCAAAACAAAACAATAAAGTAGTTCTATCTTAAAGATTTTTGTTTCTAAATTTATGGCTTGAGATTAGTTATGACTCTCTAAGTGTGAGCTGACCTCCAGTGGAGATCCAAGCTTCTCTTGGTAACTGGGGCACATCAGTGGGGATAAGTTGTTATGCTGTCCTTTTTCAGGTACTCATGATCCCAGACCTTTAACACTTCCAGTGTTTGCTATTAAAACACTACAAAAGTAAGGCTTTCTGACCAGCTTAGGACATCTTCCTGACTTGCACCATTTGAGTATCTGATCTTAAGTTTTTCAGGTATACACACTGCATTCTGGATTCTCATTTTTGAGGGTCATATTTTTTCTGTTAAATATCTGTACCTTGTATACTTGGTTTCAGATTCCACATGCACATGCACATAAAAGCTCATGGATGAGAGTACTGTAATCTCAGAGCAAAACTATAAGAAGCAAGGTATGACAGACCTTTGATTTGATTCCTTCTGACCTTAAGCAGGACAGAATTCAGCTCTAATTATGTTCGTAGAGAATTCAAGAATGCAACGTTCATATAATAATTACACATTTGCGTAAAAATGCTACATTTAAAAGCATTTTTCTGAATCATTTGAAAAATGTCATACTAGCACCAGCATAACAGCACCAGAGACCAATCCCTGCCCACCAAGCTACAAACAAACCCAGCAGACAGAAGGGGAAGGGAGCACAGCCAGGACAGATGTGCATACAGGAATAAGCCTCTCTTCTATGCTGATAAGTTACTATTTAATTTGCTTGTGTATCATTGAGCAGCATTATAAAACAAATACCTCATTTTAAAATTGTTGAAGGAATATAACTACTCAACTATCTAACATGGAAATATGTGTAATGAAACTAGAAGAAGAAATGTGAAATACATACTGGAAAAAATATAGCGTAAGATTTGAAAAAAAATAATGTATCTAGAAGGGAATGAATTGTCAGGAACTACTTCCCAATAAGGGTGGATAAGGCCCTGGGCAACCTGATCTAGCTGTGGCGTCCCTGTTCATTGCAAGGAATTGGACTACATGGTCTTAAGAGGTCCAAGTCTAAGGGTTCTATGACTCTATACAGAAAAAAAAAAAAAAAGCAAAAAAAAAGCATTTAGGTGAACAAGGAAAGGTACATAAAACTGGCAGAGAGAGATGGATGGGCAGAAGAAAACACAAAGTAGATAGGGAATGCCTGGGCTTTAAACAGAGAGATACATAAAATTATGTATAGCATGAAAGAGATGAGGAGGGAACGATTTTCACAGCTCCAGACACACACGGAAATCATCAGGTTTAAAAAACAAGCCAAAGGAAATACATTCTTTGTAAAAAAGGCGTCATTAAATTGTGTAACCAATTGAGTGTTGTGGATGCCAAGTATTTAAATGGGTTCAAGAGGGATCATACAAATGCATGTAGAATACTTCCATTGGCAGCTATAAAACCAAGGAATAATAGAAGTTTTCATGCAACTGAAAGCATCAGAAGTCCCTCAGCTGTTGGTCACCAGACATGGGGTGAATGGAGCTGGCTGACAGCTCTTCGTCTCGCCTTCCTTCCCCACAGAGCCATTAAGCCATGGCTCTACACAGGCACATGGGCTCTGGGTTTTCCCAGGACAGCAGCTCTCTGCAAAGCAAAGCAGCTCTAGGGCCCTGGAGACAAGAAGTCTGCTGGCCCCTGCAAGAGGAACCTGCACGATGGGTGAAGCAGCTTCCCACGGCCCCAAAGCTTCCGGGGCAGAGCAAGACTGTGGGAGCAAGAAGGGGCAGGAGGGATGTGGCCCCGTCCATGTCGCATCTAGAAATGATACAGCATTTCCTTCTCTTTCTCAACATTCTCCTCTAGAAAGCCAAGAGCTTTCTTGACAGCACAGTTTACAATGTCTGATTTTTTTTTTTTTTTTTTTAAATGCCAGTGCCAAGAATTAAGATGATTTACATCATTCTCTCCAGGGTGGGGCACACTCCATCCTCCATTCAGTTAGAGGCTCCTAATAGCCCCCTTGCTGCCAAGCTGCGTTTATTGCTATAAATTGAAAGGTTTCCATTTCAAATCTCTTCAGTTCTTGAAGGAGGGCAGATCTGGGGGGGTGGGAAGCAGGGTACAGCTTTCAGTCCTGAGGGGCTCAGCTGGTCCAGCACACCCACAGCTCCTGGCTCTGCATCCTCCTGCAGGTCTGAATGCAGCCACAAAGGAAAGGAAAGAGCCCGACCTCCCACCTCCTCAGCATCAGCACCGTGCGCCTCACGATCCATTTCCAAATGCATTTACATTGACGCAGAGCCACACAGCCGGACTTGCTGCACTTCTGCCCTGGTGGTCAGTGCAGCGCTGCTGAGCTGGGAGCAGGCCGGGCGGACACTGAACCCACCCACGACTGTTTAATGAATTCCAAATCAGAGCACGCTCACAGCTAATAATGTGACCCTGCTCGTCTGCCATCCCTCACCAGGACTACCCAAATCCAGATGTTCAGGACAGATTTGCCCAGACTCCACCAAAGTCCCAAGACATTCCTGATGAAAAGCCATTTTAAATTATTCTTCCAGGGCTAAATCATCCTGCCCTGCAGTGCTTTCCAGCAGACGAGGGTAAAATGACCCAGAAGATATGAACAAAAAAGAACATATTGAAAACAGTCTTCCAAAATCAGCCCAGAACGCCCTTCTACTACATGAAAGTGGGCACGTGCTAAAGAAACAAGAATCTCACTGTATTATTGAAGACAAAAACTATAAACTGCCAAGTTTAATATATTTTTTCACTGAAATTACTTTAACTGCAGAGTTCTTCTACAGCATCTAAAGGAGATGTCCACAGGCAGTACTCCTGCAAAGTAAGGCTCTCCTATCAGCAGATAAAACAGATCTTTTTTCATTGCAGAAAACAGATTTATGGGGTCATCATCCCATATCTTGTTCTGAAAGCATCAAAAATTGCTGGAGATGCAAAGAGCAGATTTTCTTTTTTTTCTTTTTCCCCCCACACAAGCAAACAAATCAGCATCTGCCTCAGCACTGTGTACTTGCCTGCAAAACCAAGCACAGCCAGCAGATCTAATTTAAGGCTAACACTGCATTCTGTACTCTCTTTTTAATGTAAGATGTTGCAGCTTTGGAACAAAATAAAGCTTTAATGGTGAAGATCTACATCCTGCTCTATCCTGCTCTCCCAAACATGAGTCAGGAAATAGCTTACATCCCAACAAGATTGTCTTTCGAGATGTGCCGAATATCACTTCTCTTAAAATAAAATCAAAATAAAAATTAGGTCAGCAGCAAGATCAAAACTACAAGGAGTTGTGACTAATTTAATTCAGTGCTCGGCTTTCTGAGTTACAGCAGAAATGCTACTTACAGGGAGACAAAAATACATGTTCTTTTTTTTGCAGGAAGGGTAGCAGGACTGTGGGCTTCTGGACACCCAAGTTCAAACCCAGCTGCCAGAAAGATTGTGGTGGCCTCTAGTGGCTGTTCTCCCCAGCACGCCAAACTCATCACACACAGCTCAGAAGGCTCCAGCTGCTCCACCTCCCACCAGCATTTTCCAGGTCACCCACCTGAGAGGGGCAGCAGGGCATGGGAATGATGCTGAGAGGAGCAGCAGAGGAAGGTGAGGCAGGGGGTTGGACTGGACGATCGCCAGAGATCCCTTCCAACTCTACCATTCTGTGACTTGTCAGCCTTCCTGGATGCCAGTCATGCAACATCCACCAGTCCTCGCCAGGTGATCTGACAGCTACATCTATCACTCAAGTAGCTCTGGTTCTTAGAATTAGATAATCAATGGAGACTATATAACACGATTTCATCTCGAGCTATGAGAGTCTCAATTGTAATTGACCCAACTGTAATGAACCTGAGAATGAGATGTGTTTTCATGGATGACTAGCTGTGTAGGATTTTAAAACGATTAAATAGTTCTTCACAAGAAGAACTCTGACTTATCTTGAACTGAATTTGGAGATTCTTCAATCTGTTCTCAACCCCTGTACCATACAGGGATCAAACTCATTTGAAGGCAACACTTGTGGCACAGATTTTCTACAGTCGGTCTTTACTTTCCCTTAATTCAGGTGAAAGCTCCCTACCACCTGGCCTATATCACCAGTGAATCAAAGCAGAGGTTGCTTTATCAGATTGCATTGAGTTGTTTTTCTTCTGCGTCAGTGAGCCATAAGCCTAAAAAGGCTTTAAATGCAAGTATTACCAGAAACAAGCCACATCTTCCCATGATGGAGCACAAAAGTGGTCATCAAGTTGATGGCAGATGGGAAAACTCAGCCTTGAACTCCCAATAAACATACAAACTCCAGCTCCAGCCTCAGATGCAGGGTATTTCTCTTCAGCCTAAAGTTGTCTCCTGGCTGTGTTCACCTGTTACAGAGAACAGTGAGCATCTCTCTGCTACTGGTGCAGCTTGGCTGTAGGCAAACCTCCATCATTTAACAGACTATCCAAGCACAATTTTAATTAGATACTCTTTATTATGATATCCAGGAAAACGATAACAAGGTGATTGCTTATTACAGCTTCCACAGATTGGGGCTCGAGGCCGTATTGTCCTGGGTACACACGCACACACACACAAGACAACTCTTGCCACAAAGAACTTACAATCTAAATAAACAAAACAAAGGTAATGATGAATCTAAGAAACAAAGAGGAGGAATCACCTGCATGAGAACACAAGGCAGTTTTGGTTTGGCTTCCAGCCTGAAGTTCAAGAGTTGAAATTCCTATCCTATTACAATATTCCCATCACCACGGGCTGAATTTTTAATCAGTTAATTACAATGCAAGATACATTCTTCAACATTCATAATCAATATAAGAAGACACAGACAAAGATCAAAGTCCTTGACCATGATTTGCCAATATCTTTGTTGTGTAACAGCAAAACTACTTTCTACAGATACAGAAATCCTTTGTGCCCAGTTTCCTAAATGAGAAAAGCAGTACTAGTGAACGGTAATACAGAAAAATTTGGACTAACAGAAACATCCAGGAATACCATTTTTTCCTAAAGCAGTCAGGACTTAACACTTTTTCTCTCTCTTTTTTTTTTTTTCCATTTCAGTGTATCATATTGCATAATGTTCTTCTGTTTGGAATAAAGAAATGACAACTGCATTGTGCTGCATGACAGCGCCTGACCTTAAGTGTTCACCACAATAAATAAGAAGAAAAACCGAACACTGAAAAGCTATCAAATTATAAAGCTACACCTCAGATGCTCTGATTCTGCAAAAAGATTCTAACATAAAAAGAAGAAAAAGGAGTTGTCATTTCTGGCACTCACATCACAGATTTTCCATTCTCGAGCTGGATACAAATAAAAGTATTCGCAGGTACCCAAAATAAAAGTGACAGGACACACTGCGCGAGATCAAGAGCAATCATCTTAGATCCAAAACTAGGTAGCACTTTTTCTTCTTTTTCTTTCAACCTGAAATAGAAGTTGTTAACTTTTTTCTTGTTGACATCAAAAGAACTTCCCTAAGAGGCAGAAAAAAACCCACTGCAGCTGCAGCCCAGGACTCCTCACCCATCACTCACAGAAGGGGAACCGACAGTTGTAGATGCTAATAGTAGTTCTGTTTCATGGACAGAAAGGCACTTGCTATCTGAATGTGAGCTAAATTCAAACACCTCACTTGAAATACAAGTTGTATCAAAATGTATTCATGCTATAAAGAGTTTCAGTTCCCATTAAACGGGTTCTGATGACACCCTGTATATTGCTTTAATGTGCTTCTTTCTTCTTACGTGTCTGCTCCAGAAACACTCAGGCACTGCTTCTATTTTAGTTCTAAAAAGTATGCCAAATTCCTTAATGTGCTCAGAACCAGGCTTATTAGATCCTAAACTGAGTAGTTTGGGGAGCAGTGAAAAGGGGGATAGCAATGAGAAGAAGGTATACCCACCACAGAGATCCATCACCACCTATAGCAGAAAAAGAAAACTAAAAAAGCTACAAAGCCAAGAACAACCACAACAAAAGCCCAAACAAACAAACAATATGTGAAATTCAAACACAACGGACAGATGATAATGGACATCAGTTCTTTAAAGAGTCCTTTTCAAAGGATCTTTCCAAAATTTCCCCCCCAGACTTAGCTCTGTAGGACACTGTCACACCCAGAGCAAGAAATAACTTAAGTAATTGAATAATAGGATAACTATTACAGAACCTACAGGCATCAAACTACCAGCCACTAGAACGCAGTATGCTGTGTGTGCTGACTCACACCATGGCTGTACATCAAACAAGCAGTATGACTGTCTACCTGGTGTTCTAACTCCTTCAATACTGACTTTTTCCACAAAGAACCGTTAGGCCAGCAATGACCAACACAAAGAGAGCAGCCATGGAAGCTGCTGGTTTCTATCTTCTGAGCACAGGTCAAGGGCCAAGTCACAAATGGGACAAGAAGAATGACCTAGAAATGGGCTAGCCAGCATCCTGAAAACAGAATAACAAACTTAAGAGAAACTGAACAACCCTCCCTCCCAGATTCCTTGACAGAAAGACAATGCAGTTCTTGCAAAGCTCTTTGGAAGACCTGCTTCAACCCATGAAGGGTTCAAGGTGAAAAGAAGCTGTAATTTCTCAGCTGCTAAGGAAAGTAATCTTGGTCCTTGATCCAGAAGAAATTACATTTTCAGAATTCCTATTTCTACACTTCCAGTTCCACTGCTTGGAAACCCATAAACTGAGATAGACAAAATGCATTTCACTACAGAATACTGACTATTTCCCCTTCACCAAAATACCTGGCAGAAAGCCATAAATACTTTTCAGTTTGGCATGTCAGAGCTACCAGATAGCCCAGTTTCCTTCTTGTATTGAAGACTGGAAGCCCTTCAATAAGGTCTTCCAACTTACACATAGTGTAATCTGTCATTTTCAACCAAAAAAAGTGCAGTTGAAAGGGATAGTTGCCTTCCACCTTCCTGCACGTTTTTCCAGCATCTCCTTGCTTGTCTGTAAAGACTTGTGAACCTCCAGGATGACTCTCAGGCAACTAATTCAGTAAAGAAATAACTAAGCAAACGTATCACTTTACAGATGCACCAGCTCCTCGATCGAGCTGACCATGCAACAAAAAATCTTTGTGCTAGAAAAAGAGAAGGGGCACTTTTTGGCAGCAACCTACGTTTTTTAGGTTTAGCACAACCATGAATATGCTCCTTCCCTGCAACACCAAATTTGACTTCCAACAAAACTGCTTCAGGTGCAGTTACTTTTGCTAAAAGGGCTGAAAATGTACATTAACTCTTTTTACAGCAGTCTGATAACAGAAGGTTGATTACTTTTATCAAAGTACTAAACTACTTACTAGAATTCAAGATCATGTAATTTCATAAGCACAACTACTATTTTCAAAGAAAAAAGCACTTTCGAAAAAATATCAGATGCTTCATAATGACTGATACTCTAAATACATTATTCCAACAACCTTCATTTACTTTCAGTGTACTGTAACACCATAACCTATGCATTCTCTCTGCACGACTCCCTTCCCTTCCCTTGATCACTCCTAACTTTGGGCACGGGATCACACAGAAAGCAGTTTGTGAAATGTCACCCTCACAAATAATTTACACATGAGAAATCATTCTTTTTAACTAGTGATGAGGAGAAAGTGTCTTAACAAGAGCAAAAAATTGAAAACGAATGTCAGCAGCTCTGCACTCCCTGCTTACACTTCTAAGTTGCATAATATTTAGTAACAGTAAAGTCCCAGCTTTGGTAACTAATTCTGGCACACAAAGCAAACATACAATTGGGGCCAAAAAAAAAAAAAAAGGTTCAGGATAATCAAATAGAAGTCCAGAAAGAGTTCTTCCAAGGTTGGGGGAGAGAGGTATGACAATAAAATTAAAACCCTTAACCACAGTCTGTATGGATCATTCACTTTACATCCATTTACATGGACAAAGCCTTCTCTTTGTGGGATCTAGTAACTGATAAATCGCTACAGCCTAAGCAAAAAGCATTGCAATTAGGCATAGGAGCCTAATAACAAACTCTTCACTCATTTCCATTTCTGATTTTCCTGATACTGTAACTTTGAAAACATTATTAGACAACTCATCTTCTATCCTAATGAATCCCGGATTACAGAGAGATGAAATGTGATAAGGTTTGAAAATCAGAATTTAAGCAACTCAAAAGAAGTTATCCAAACAGGAAAGAATAATAATCTTATGCCAAAGCAAGTAACAAATTGGAAGCAGAAATCTCATAATGTTCTAAGTTCACAGCGGTTTTCAGCACAAGGTAGAAATTAAAAAAATTATTGCTTCTGCAGGAAGTCAGGAATGCCTCCTCCAAAACTATGAATGTATATTTGTAACTACGACATAAGAAGATGAAAGAAACTGGCCTTCAATGCTCTGTTCAAACCCAAGAACAAGAGAAATCATTCTATATTACTTGTCAGAAAGCAACAAGTCCTATAAGGCAAAGATGAAGATTAAGCCATCGTGGAAGTAAAAATTCTTTTTGTTAAGTCCAAAGGCCAAGAACATCCATAAGGCCAACAGGAGACGAAAGCAATGTCAATATTAACAGGCAAGAACACACTCTTCTGAAGTTTTTAGAAGTGAATGTGAAGTTGACATTTCAAGACTCCCATGACAAACAATGAGCTTTACAAAAAACAGTTTGCTTTAGGGACACAGAAATCACAATCCTCAGACTCCAATGTATCAAAGAGCTGAAGAAGTACCTTAAAAGCTCCCTCTATAATTTCTTTCTCCGTCATTTATGATTCTGACAGTACCAAGACAACCAGATATCACACACAAACTTCATTTATAGTCACAGTACCAGACAAGAAACTTTAAACATTTGCCCCTTTTGGCTTAAGGTACAACTTGAGAGCAAGGCACACAGAATCTATGCACGTCTCTGTTAGAAATATCAGATGTGAAATGTGATTTTGTGCAGTATTTGATTTATCAATTCCCTCAGCATTTCTGCATTCCAAATTTCCAGTTTCATGGTCAGACTGGATAGACTCACAGTTACATCACTTGAGTTTTCTTTTTTCTCAGATCAGTACATAAAAATAACTACACCTACTGAAGTAGACTGGGTGCATTAAAGGGCGTGCTGTCCCAGAGTTCTCAAGTTAACTAAGTCCAAGTCTGCCAAGTACACTTCAGGAGCTGTGAAGCAAGTACTCAAAACTGTGACTTGAACTACCTGGAACACGTAACAAATTAAATGGTAGTAACTCTAAATAGCACTGTAAGACTGAAGAACGGATAGTTACATGTAGTCAAGATTTTGTACTAGAAATTTTATTCTGTATAGTAAGCAACCGAACTGTGTAAGATACAGAATGCAGATTTGTTGTTGTTGTTGGGTATAAACTCAATTATAGTAACAACTTTTAGTTAACCTGTTTATTTCTCAGTTTGATTGCTTATAATTACTCCTACTCAATCCATAAGCATTTTAACACTGGGGTTAACCCGAAAGCCTGATTTAGTAACTTCTCAAGACTGAATAAAAATCTTTAACTCATTCCCAAGTTGAATGATTCCCATTACAAAAGGATACACAAGAAAAACATTAACTGCATATTAAATTGAAAAATTAACTGGACAAGGCTTCACATTTAATACAATTATGAAAGACAGATAATGGAAAAAATCTTAAATCCAGATTCCTCCAGCTGTAGCAAAGGGCACACACAATATACCAGTTTTAAGAAGTTGTAGCTTTTAAATATTCTTTCATAAAAATATATATATAGGAGAAATCAAACTATTTCCTAACAGAGGCGAAACAAGGCAAAGCGTTTAGAATAAAGGAATGTTTGTCAAAACTTGATCCATTTATCTAACAAATTCCCTCTTTACGGAGCATTAGATGCCTCCCCACCTAAAACAAACAACACGTTGTAAGAATCTCCCCTTCTAAAATCAGAAAGACAGGTTTTGAAAGAAGGTCCAACGCACAGTAACTGTCCAAGATATGTACACTTTAAAAGCACAGACAGGAGTTAACAGTGCTACTCAAATCAATTCTATGACATACACTTTTCCCTTCTAATGTTCAAGTGCTAAAGCTTTATCTCAGAAAGGTCTCTCTGTTCCTTGTAAGACATTTCTAACCAACGAGCAATAAGACTCTGCAACATTTCCAATCAGTTCAGTTTTGTTTTAATGATATGGGGCAATTCTTAGAGCAGACATCGTGTAGCTAGCAACTACAAAATAAAAGAAGTTTACTTTTGTGGTCCTAGAATCCCAATTTGATCTGTGAATTTGAATCAAGGTAATTAACTTAAAAGTCAGAGTATCTGAAAATGCATACTATATTTTTACTTCAATTTCATCATATATTTGAAGTTTTGAAGAACTAGGAAAAAGTGAAGTTGGAAAACAGTATATATCACCAAGATTACAAAAACTGGAAAGAAATAATACATTGCATCAGTGATCCTCATTAAGTGAAGTTATTTCATCACAGTAAGTGTTTAAAAAAGTGTCAATGTTATTTAAAAAGTGTTTTGTCCCCCCACCCCCCAAGCGTTTGTTTGAAGACAGATAAACCTTTTCTTTTAGTCAAAATGGCTTTTAAAAAAAGTTTCACAAAACAATAGCAATAATCAAAAAACATGATTTGTATTTTCTTTAATCCATTACATCTCTAGTGCTGAAGGGCCATCCATGTAAAAAGCAGATTCTTTGGGGACACTTGTCAATTAACTTAATAAAACCCAGTTTTACGAGGATTTATCCTTCCTGCTACGAGGCGAGTCTGCTCCATTTGAGGTCACTGTCCCATTTATTCCATTTTCTACAAAAAAAAAAAAAAATCAAGTAGAATGAGACAATTATTTTACTACATTTTAGTAGGTACTAAACAGTCACTAACTTCTCTGATGCATCTTTTTTGTTAAATCTCATCATTACCATTTCTAACTGGAACCATACCATTTATTACCACTTATTCACTGGAACAGGTTGCCCAAGGAAGTCATGGATGCCCCATCCCTGGAGGCATTCAAGGCCAGGCTCTGGGCAGCCTGGTCTGGTGGTTGGTGGCTCTGCACATAGCAGGGGGGTTGAAAATAGATGATCATTGTGGTGCTTTTCAATCCAGGCCATTCTATGATAATGCAACAGTATAACAAAGCTTTTACCAACAGCAAAATATGAAGTTTACTACAACAACTGAAGCACAGTTTCCTGACATGGCCAAATACTGACATGGTTGTGTTACGTGCATTATAAACTGAAAATCAAATTAGCTAGATATACTCTGATAAAGAGAAATATTCAACTTGTAGGTAAGACATTCCTGTGAAATTCTGGAGTCAGATGGTACACCCCCTCGTATCATTCTTTTTCCTATTTCATTTTTTAATGCCTAAGAAAGTTGCACTCCTTTACTCACCTTTACAAGCTTTTTATACATTAGAAAAATTAAGGTTAATTAATCATACACTTAAAAAAATATAGAGGTCATTTATTTTCTGAAGAAAATATTTAAATAGATAAGGTGGGCAGAAGTAAAACATTAGTTAAAATATAAGAAAAGTACAGAAGAAGATCAAGCATAAGACTTAGACTCCTAAGAACACAAGGCAAGAACCTGATACCATCAGCAGCTCTTTACTTGTATCCTACTTCTGGGTCAGCTCAAGAGTTTTAATATGAAATAGTCAACAAACGGTACCTATGCACAGCAAACATTTGCTCTGAGCAATGACCCAACGTCTATGGGTCTATCATATCCTCAAAAGAGTGGAACAGAGCAACGTGATACCACAATGAATGAAAGTATCCGCTCTACTTAACGTCACCACAGCCCACGGAAGCACAGCTGCTGCCTGACAGCAACCAAATTCATAAAACAGACCAGAAGAAGCAGAAGTGCGTAGTCAGCTTTACTGCTTGCATCTCTGCTCAACTAACTTGCACTACCATTCTGATTTAAAGAAACTGCTATACCTTCCTGTACAAATAACAAGTTAAGTTCATGTTTTCCATCTCCAGAAGTGTTGCAGATCACCAGAGGGAGTGGGCAATCCACAGAAATAACTGCAGATATTCCTTCTCCCCTCCTTTCCTTCACCCAAAGCTCCCATGCATGCTAGCAAGCAACTGAAGTAAAAAGAAGAACAAAAAACAAAACCAATCAACCAAACAGCAACACGCTGAGAAAGAAACTGGTCACAGGCCTGATCAGTCATACAGGAATAGTCAAAGTCTCTTTATTTGGCTGTAAATGACACCATCATCTCAAGCTTATGTCAGGTGTTCTTCGGGCTCCTCTCAAAAAAATTAGGTTATTCTTGATTTATAAAGCTTACAAATAGTGAGCTAGATCCAAACCAGCTGAGATCATATTCTCTTAACAGTTAAGTCAAAACAAGTAAAAAGAAAGAACACAAATCAGCAAAGGCATCAAACATACATCACCAACATTTTCCCACTATTATTGCTTGCTTCTGGCACAGTCTAAAAGAAAGGCATTTTGTGCCCTGGCTCCCCAAACGCAGTCTGCCACACACATACAGCTCCCCCAAAAAATAAACATCAAAAAAACCTGTTTGAAAGGCAACTTAATTGCATGTTTTAGTTCTCAGAAAAAAAATACCACACCTTGTGCAAGTGTTCTGAACTAACAATGTTACAGGAATCTTCCAAACAGAAAAGTCTAAAACAACACCAGTCTTTGGGATCAACCTTTTCTTTAGAATTCCCATTTAAAATTAGCTGCAAAATTCCCGGGTCTTTAAGACAGTCACAGCTCAATTATTATGTGAATTCAATCATAATTCAAGTTAACTATAAGTTTACCAAATTAAATCAACATTTTAACTCACTGATTAAATAGAAGATGTATAAATGAATTCCACAAGCAAAACAAAGTAATAAATAAACATTAAGCTCTGATTCAACAGGACACCTACAGGTTCTATTGATAAAAACGCCACTCATTTTTTTTCTAGTATCATAGAACCATAGAATGGCTTGGGTTGGAAGGGACCCCAAGGATCATCAAGTTCCACCCCCTGCCACAAGCAGGGCTGCCAATCTCCATATCTAATATTAAGACCAGGCTGCCCAGGCCCCCATCCAACCTGGCCTTGAACACCTCCAAGAATAGGGCATCCACAACCTCTCTGGGCAGTCTGTCCCAGCACCTCACCACTCTCATAGTAAAGAACTTCCTCCTGACATCCAACCTAAATCTTCCCTCCTTCAACTTAAAACCATTTCCCCTTGTCCTGCCATTATCTACCCTTGTAAAGAGCCGACTCCCCTCCTGTTTGTAGGCTCCCTTTAGGTACTGGAAGGCTGCAGTGAAGTCACTCCGCAGCCTTCTCCTCTCCAGGCTGAACAAGCCCAGCTCCCTCAGCCTGTCTCCATAGGGGAGGTGCTCCAGCCCTGTGATCATCTTTGTGGCCCTCCTCTGGACTCTCTCCAACAGCTCCCTCTTTCTTGAATTGGGAGCCCCAGACCTGGATGCAGTACTGCAGATGGGGCCTCACGAGGACAGAGTAAAGAGGGAGATCATCATCTCATATACACCATCTCATTTATATTGCAAAAACCTACACCCTGCCCCCCAAGAACCCAAATCAAACTCAAAAATAAAAAAATAATATAAAAATCAGGGTCTGAAATCTGTCAGCTGAAGTAAAAATATGTGCATGTTAGCAATGGGCAACAAAACCGAAAAACTAACAATGGACAAACACTAAATAGTGCTAATTGAAAACAACCAAAATGATGTAAGAATCAAAGTCTAAAACATGATTTTAATACAAAAAAAAATTAAAAGTTGAAAATTTGCCTCTGACATCTCAGTTCTCAGTACAACTGTCTTCATGCAGTAAATTCAATGTATTGAAAAAGCATTAGAGGTTGATAACAAGCAAAAGATCATGTGGAAATAAGCTTTTGAGGTGACTGAGTTTCAAAGAAGTTCACGAATTATTCAAGCTAGCACTTAACTACATAGAAGCTCAACTGTACAACAGATTTATCTACGTAAACTGAATACATAATTTCAATGGAGGAAAAGGCAGACTGTTCATCTTTCATTTTCCCATAAGAAGAGCGACACAAACCAGGAGTCATCAATTCATTTCCAAAAGCTTTTACGTAAGATTAAAGTAGTAAGCAGTTGTTACCTACACCTTTAAAAGAAGCATCAAAATGCTATTATTAGTAAAGACAGCTCAACGTGAGCTTATTTACTGGATCTTCACTCAGTGGCACTGAAAACTATGCCTGAAATTCACTGCAAGAAAAAAGAACTTAAAAGTGATCACGAGAACACCTAAAAATGTCTCCTCCCTTTTTATAACTGAACACAACATAGGCAAGACAGATTTCGTGCAAGTAATAAAATTAGACACAATAAATTGCAAAGCTGCATTAACTGTAATAGTGATTCCTTCATTCCATCAATTACAAGAGAAAGCCAAGCCCATCTTTTACAGGTCAATCAAGTTTTTTTTTTTTTTAATCAATAAAATAAATTCACCAATACTGTTTCTGTAACTGAATCACCCCATCTGATAGCAAAACACAGAATTTACCTTAGCAGTTTTATCATAAAAGATTCTCTATTATCTGGAGTTGCTTTCGAGACACCAAAGTAACAGGAAACTTGAAAATACAAACCTCTTTCTTTTCTGGAGGTCTTTCCTTTAGCTGTGACAAACTTCTTTTTCACCGATTGAGGCTGAGAAGAAGAATGCTCTCTCCATCTCCGAAGTTGGAAATTAATGAATTTCCACATCATAAATGCTTGAGCCAAGCAGATGGAGGCCAGCACACTGATTCTGAAAAAGAAACAGGTACAGGTTTAGCAGTAAGTTCATCTTGTTGCTCAAAGAAAAAAGGAAAGCAGAATAGCACATCATACAGTTTTTTTTGTATATCAGAAACAGCCTTTTTACTTTGACTCCTCCAGTGCAACAGAGTTGTTCTTTCTGGACTACACATTAGTAAATGTTGCTCCTCCTCCTAACACCCATTTTCCAGATGTAAGAGTTAGTGGGCTTAACACAGCTGAACAAAACTGGATGTGTACTAAGAGCAAAGATTTTGTACTTCCATCAAAACTGAAAAACACTAAGTTTCTTTTCTGCTTTCTCCTTTCTGTAACAATCAAGGTACCCATCACCTGAACAGGGGTCCTCCAGTTCTGAATATTTAGACTGTAGGGTACTGTGGACACTGGGAATGTTTTAATAAATTCCTTTTATGCATTTAATTCATAAAAAGGCTGAGCGGTTGGCTGAACCAACCACTGCATCAGACAGCAGCAACAGAAGTCATAATAAAGGCAGAGAAAGTGGTGAGAATCTTCAACCAGATTCAAAGATGCTTGGATATGATGTCCAATTATCACTGCAATTATTTATAGCTCAATTTAATAACTCTAAGATGTGAACGGCATCTCTACAGTTGGATATTTCTTTTAATCTTGTTTTATTTTCCTAACTCGTAATCAGTTATAGGTTTCTCAGTGACAGACTGTAAATTCTTCCACTCACTTCAATGTGCTTGACAAGCTTTTTTTTTTTTTTTTTTTTTTAATAAATCAAAGCCATGCCCACTGATCCCATTCAGTACTACTAGCATTAACACTACACAGGTTTAGCACAGGCTTACAGATCATGCTTAGGAGCCATCCTAAGTTTACTGTACCTAACAGCCAGGATATTGAAGTTTCCAGTGCTGAAATTCAGCTGCTGATTTTCTGCTCTTGCCAGACCAAAGCCAAAAGTGAGGACAGAAAGAATCAAGGTGAGAAGCCTTCCCAAAACAAAAAGGACTGCCCACAGTGAAAATCTGCAAAGAGAAAGACCACAAACACTATATGAACTCTCTGCTCACAGCACAAGTACTAACAAGGCAAATATTTACTCTTAACTCTAAAAACTCATCTGAGAGTTAAGAACTTGAGTCAATTATTTTTCACTTGTCCTAATCTTGTATTTTCAGTTACCACAGAAGACAAAAATTAAGAAACACCTCACCTAGAATTTTTTTCCTACAAACCAAAACTTTGTTCTGAAAATTATTTTTAACTCAACAGAAAGTGCCTACCACGACTATCAGAACATGAGTGTATTATGAGTTTATTTAGAACTGACTGCATTAGCAGCCCAGGCTGTTGCCTTCTCTACAAGACCTGTACCTGAAAAATTTTTTATTTTTATTTTTAATAAAAGTAGTATGAGATTTAACTTCATTTTATATAGCTACTAACATCTACTTGTATAGGAGAATAAGTAAAAAAAAAAAACAACACCAAAAAACAATAAACAAAATTTTAAAGGTTTTTTCTAGTCTGGAGGACGGTGGCCTCTAAGGAAATACGAGACAACCTTCCCTGTAATTCTGGCTTCTGCTTAGTTAAAATGCACGAGGTTTGCAAGACAGAAGTTACGTGAATTTGAAAACTGCTGACTACTTACCCTTTCTGGTACCTTTCATCACTAAAGTAGAAAAGACGAGATATGTGGAAAAGAAATTCAACGAAGTAATGCAATACCAGGAGAACAAGTCCGAGGTGGGTCAGACTATTAAAACAAATAGAACATGCAGTTAAATGTTTTGTTACATTTTAGGACAGTGAATGAAGGCAGTAAAACATTACTTACTTCAAAAGATAGGCTCCAGCAATATGAAAGAGATAAAGTCCAATGTAGACAATTTGGCGAAAGATATCCTCCTATTGAAAAGAAACAAATAAATATACATTACACACAATGCTATGTGATGTACCAACACAGATTGCTTCCTAGTCCTAGAAATTGTTTTCTTCTCAGCTACCCCATGTGGCCTGTTTTAGCACTGAGTTACTCAACCTACACCACCTAATTCCACACCACTTACTGCTTACTTATCAGTAACATACAGTATTTTTCACATATACTTTTGTGAGAAAATGCATTTGAAAATGCTTTTCAAAAGGTAAATTTAGTTCTTTGTTAAGACTTATCTGAACTTGTAGCAGTTATTACAATACATAATTGGTATGAATTATTGCATCTCCAGATAAACTTCTGTAGTTTGACATGTTTGCTGCCATTCTGATTCTGTCAGATCGTTACAGGAATAGAGTAAAAGTCTATGAACCAAACAGAAGAAGTTTACAACTGCTGTTACACATTTTTTTAAAAATTCAAGATCATTCATGATTTTGGTACAATGTTGGCAATAAACAGAATAACATTACTAAGCAGTGATACAAATACCACCTGTGAAAAGAAAACTCACTGAAGTATACTAGATCGCAGTATGGGTGTTCATTCTGAAATGGTAGGGAGAACATATTCATTTGTGCTCAATAACTCCAACTTTTTAAAAGATTCCCTACACTTCAGGTAAGGCCTTTCAGTTTTATCATACATGTATGTAAATTCAACCAACCAAAGAAACACAAGAAAACCTCCTACAAATGTCATCTTTTAAGATCTACTCTGCATCTCCAATACTTTACTTTAAAGCTGACAAAAGCACAAAACGAAATACCTGTTACAACACCTAACAACACAGAGAGAGGGAATATAGTTAAAAACTGACTTTAAGTGATCCCAAAGAAAACAAAAAACAGATTATGTCAGAGAAAATACGAGCGTACTCATTACAAACACTCTGGTTCTCCAAGTACTACCAGAACAAGTCTTTTGCACTTTATCTTCAGAACAAAGGTAACATTTAAATAGCCTCAGCTGCCTGCTTACATAAACTGTCAGACTTAAGGCCTATTGGAATAACTCAGGTTGAGTTATCCACCACTACACAAAAAGCAGAGTTGAGAACCCCCATATTTTTCTTTTTTAAATGTCAAAAGTAGAAACAACTGGACCTGAGCAAAAGAAGCCAATTTCTGCATAAGAAGTAAGGCAGTGAAGTCAAGACAGGAGAGGTGAAACTGTGATAAGGGGGTGTCAACTCAAAACTTGATAAAATAAAACAAATATCCTCAAAACTTAACCTAAAAGCTAAAAACCCAAATAACCAAACAAAATACTACTATTAAGCATACAGCATTTCTGCCACTTTCTGGCAGCTTTCTTAAAGTCACATTAAAACAAACAAAAAACAGAACCAACCAATACTTAAATATTAATTCTAGAAATTCTAGAGATATAACCATCCCAGTGTGGCAATACTGGAGCATCAGCTGGAATATCTGCATAACATCACTGCTGATACTGCAATGAGCATGAAAACAAACCTTCTCATTACTACTTTCTCAAGCCTGTTCTAAGCCCCGGAATAAAGACCTGTGGTTATCTAACATACATTTCATTTTCTTCAATGAAGCAGAATCCCAACAGCAGAAACTCAGTCTAGTCACAGAGCAACAAGAGAGGAGTTTTAAAAAGGAAGCTGTGCACGCAGAAACAGCCTGAGCAAAGAACATGTAAAGAGCCTATTTATGTCAGTCAAGAAAAGCAAAAACTGTGCTACAAAAATCTACAGTGAACTCAGTGTTAACAGTTAAATTCTGAGAAACAAAATGGACAAAACTCTCATGTGGCAAAGATGCTGTTCACTACAGTACTAACTAGAAATCCTGCTGAGGACCGTGGTATTTACAACAAATCCCAGTAATTAATATTGCTTGAATTTAGCACATTATTCACTGCTTCTATTCAATACCTGTATTGTGATTCTTGAGGTAATTCTGTATTTCAATGAGATTATTCAGACAAGTAATTACAGGAAACAAGAAAAGATACTGAAACAAAAAAAACCTCCCATTCATTTGTTCAAAGGAAAATTCAGGTTCTTTTAGCAGATGGGATATGCTACTGATTTGTATTTACACAACAGACAAACAGTGATTTTACTTCAGAAATACAGGGTTTCAGTGAAAACAAAACACTTGCTTCTCACATGTACATCAGAGCACCAAAATTCCAATAAGGAAAAGCTTAAGTACACAGATAAGAAATGGGTTGGAAATGTAGGGTAACACACTTTCCCAAAGAGACGAATCTCTCCATTATTTGAGCTGCTTTGCTTGGCGTTCTTTCCATCTACGTTCTGAACTTACTTTTTTAGTTTTCTGGAAGTACAATTCTGGGAAAGCATGAAACCAGTATGCCAACTGTAAGATGTAGAAAAACTTCATTTGAAACCTGTACAATACAGCAAGAATTGAAGAATATTACTTTCTCTTCATAAACTTAAAATGTTCCAGAAACTTTCTAGTGAATATATTTAATCGCTAACTCTAAAGAGAAACAGAGATCCTTGTTGCCAGTCAGCTTTGTTCTCAGAAAGATCAAATAATAAAATTCACCACAGCTTCATTTTATAAATAAACAGCCCACAGAAAGATTAATGCATACTACCGACTGACAGAGATTAAAGCTTCCCTATCAATACAAACAAAAAATACATCAGTGACAAATTTAATTTCAGCAATTTCCATGCAATTTGTATATGACTTCAAAATGCCAACACCCCTGTCCTCCCCCAGATCCGTCCTTCAAGGAAGAGGCCTTACGGAATCAGAGTGTGTGGGTAGTCCCTCCACAGAGAGGTTGGATCTGATATATAGTTCTCCTAGAAAACAAAAGCACAGCTTCTGAAGTCACACAGCGTTGCTGTTTCCTAGTTAGAAATAATGAGTGGATGCACATACATGTATTTTTATACATCTAATGTGTGCACATATAAATACTGATACAACCACACACAAGTAAAAGCTTCAGATTGATACATTTCCATTCACAAAACTAAAACAACAAAACACAATTGTATTAGCCTAAAAGAAAAAAAATAAGGAACAAAAAACAATTCAAGTGTTCATTGAAGATTCCTTCTGAGATGGAGGTTATTTCAACATCACCACAGATAGAAGTCTTCCCTTGTAAACTGCTGACAAGCTTTGAGCTTAACTAAGGGAAGAAAAGTTTTTTTTAGGAGTCATTGTGCTACAGAAAAAAAATATACTCTACCTTTTTTTTTTTTTTGAAATTTTAAGTTTCTATAATCACCATTAGAAAATGAGCTTTCAATTTAAACAATAGGTTACTCCTGTAAGGGAAGAATAATTTAGGAGCTTACAATGAACCAGATACTTCTCTGTAAGTGGGAACAAGAGATGGCTTATGCCTTTCTTCTGAGATCAGAAACCGGGGTGAGCACGAACACAGCCCAGTGCTACCAAAAGGCATGGCATCTGACAGGGCACAGTCACAGCCTACAGCAACTTGCCCACTGCCCATTCCCTAGGCTGCCAAAATGCACTGTATAAATAATATATTAAACATTTATTTTACAATAATGAACCAACACAGAAAAACTACGTAGAATGAAGTACTCTAATAGACTTTAAAAATTTTATTCATTTGATAGCAAATTCAATTTACTCGGACAGAGCAACAGTAATGCTACTGGACTTCATAGTAAGTTTTGATATAACTTATACAGAATTCTGAAACCTGCCCCTGCTTTAATATTAAAATCAGCTAAAACCAGAATAAGCTGAAAACTTATTGATCTTGCTAAGTTACAGTCTCATAAGAAACACAAGAGGAAGTGTACTTACAGAGACAAGAATACTTGTGCCCCAAACACAGGAGAAAAGGTAGAACGCACTAAGTTGTCCAGACTCATTGAACTTGCTATGCTTTGTTTTGGAAAAGTGCATTTTCCTGTTAATTTTCTGAAATGAAAGTCCACTGTTATTTACATGTTCTTGTACTCAACATTAGCTGTTACCTGCATTAGAACATCTGAAAGTTCCAATGAATGTCTTAGCATTTTAAAGGTAAATTTTAGCATTACAGTTTTTAAGTTAACAGTCAAAGTCTAATCTATTATCTTGATGAAAGAAATTAGTATTTTGTACTTACATCCAATACGTACTCCTGAATAATAGCATGTATGATTATTGCTACGAGCATATAAAAGAAAATTGTAGCCAAGTCTTTGATGCCATAGTGATAGAGAGAGATTGTTTCTGCGGATTGTTCTTCTAGAAGACAGAAACAGAATTAACTGTTAGGCACTGATACAGTTTTATTGCCAATAAGTTTGTTTCTTAAAGTAAAACCTTTCAGGCAAAAGTCATTTGTTGTCAGCTGAACAAATATAAGTCAAATTAAACCACCACCCTGAGCTAGGTCAGTAGACTCCATTTAAAGTAATCTTCTCCATCACATCAGAAACTCAATTTGATTTTGGAAGGATGTAATATAAAAATGGAAACTTAAGTGCACTTAGGAAGCTTAGCCAAATGCACTGAAAGGGAACTATAAAATTATGTTAAACTATCAACCCTTCCCCCCCCTCCCCACACACTAAGTAGAACAGATCATCACTTACATAACCAGAGTAAGAACGTGAACTTATTAACCACCAAGACTGGGTTTCAGGATTGAGAATGAAACCAGCAGAGCAGAAACATTTTCCCTAACGCAATTCTTTGAAAGTTTTACCAATAACAATTTATGTGAAGTCCTTAAAAACTCTTTACTGTCCATTTAAACTCAGTAACTTATCCTCAGTTTAGGGCATACAACACATTAGCGGTGTCTGAGGATATTACCCCATGACTAACCAACCACCTGCAAAGCACATACCTGTGGCAGGAATGGTAACATTATACTGAAGAGTGACGAAAATGACAGCTGCTTTTGCTGTAATCTGAAAAAGAAAACACAGAAGTGCTGTAGAATCTCACTGACATAAATTATTTTAAACTGAAAATGTTTACCCCTAGTTCTAGCACTCTTCCCCAAGCATGTCTGCTCCTCCCAAGAAAACAACCAACTCCCATCATCACGCCACTTTATCTGACTTTCTGAAAGCAAAAGAGACCACATGATTTCTGTAAATTTACAGAAATACCCTCAAAAATTCCTCTTCATGAGGGACAGCGAGAAAAAACAAAATTCAAAGCAGAAGAGAGAAGCAGAAAATGTTTCTTCTGAAGTCCTTTCTGGGCAGGGAGACGATACCTTCAAAGAACAAAACAAAAGCAGCAATTCTTGTTCATCAATAACAATTTTCAAGTGTAAGACATTTTGCTACCTGAAGATAACCCACTAGGTTATTATTATGATTCAAAAGAAATTGGACTTTTTTTTAATTTTTATATCTTTTTCACTGAAACAAGCACTCTGTAAACTAGGAGGTTTTCTTGGAACCCTCTCTGTGCAACTTCTGGGAACCCAACTAGTCTGCCAGAATTGGTTCCACTGCTCAGGACTTGTCATCTGTGGAAGGAGCCTCCAGTGGACTCACACCACCAGCCAGTTCTGACAAGCCATACCAAGGCTCACTCAGCTAACGCTATCCAGCTGAGCAAGGGTAAGGCAGTACCTAAAGGGAGCCTATAAACAGGAGGGGAGTCAACTCTTTACAAGGGTAGATAACAGCAGGACAAGGAGAAATGATTTTAAGTTGAGGGAGGGAAGATTTAGGTTGAATGTCAGGGGGAAGTTCTTCACAGAAAAAGTGATGAGGTGCTGGAACAGGCTGCCCAGACAGGTTGTGGATGCCCCCTCCATCCCTGGAGGTGTTCAAGGCCAGGTTGGATGGGGCCCTGGGCAGCCTGGTCTAGCATTAAATGTGGAGGTTGGTGGCCCTACATGTGGCAGGGGGGTTGGAGTTTCATGATCCTTGAGATCCCTTCCAATCTGGGCCATTCTGCGATTCTGTGAAGGCAGCATCAATACTGTACCATACTAGCACTGACTGCAGCAGTCGATATCTAAGGCCTGTACCAAAGCATTTCAGAGACCCTGGCAATCTGTTCAGCCTCCTATACATTTAACAACAGAGGCACACGGCCCCTCTATGCCAAGGTAGAAAATAAATGTCCTGAAGTGAAAAACAGAGAGATTTTCAAAGAGATTTTCAGAGAGATGTCAAAGAGATGAAGGCTTTGGCACACCCAACCCTTGCAGTAACGTGGTAAATAAACAGTAAACATACACACGAGGGAAGGGTTTAGGTCCTTATCTTTAACCTCAAAACCACGCTGTGAAGCCTGGTGTGATTTCTGGGTGACTTTTGGTACTAAAACCCACACAGAACAGCGTTCTTGGTGCGTCCCATCTTTTCTTTTCAAACCCTACACCTGAGCAGCACAAAGGCCGGGTAAAACTCCGCCGAAAGCCACCTGCGTGGCTAAAACACCCAGCGGCTGGGGCTCTAAAGAGCCAGAACCGTGCCGCGTGGCGGACGCGTCGTGCTGCGATAGGGCACGCTGGGCGCACCTCGGGGATCCCTCAGAATAGAACCCAGCACGGCACGCTCAGCTCGGCGGCCAGACCGCGGAGGGCTTCCGGGGAACTCGGAGCTCCGCAGGCCGCGTGGCCGGGCCGACCAAAGCCAGGCGGCGGCCGCCGCGGGACGCGCGCCCCGCTGCCCGCGCGGCCGTAGGTACACGTCACCGCTGGCCGCCCTTCCCCCTGCGGGCTGCGCGGCGCCGCGCGGCCTCACGGGAGTCGTAGTGCCGGCGGGGCCGCCCGGGCAGCGCACACAAAGAGCGCGGTGAGGCAGGGCAGGGCAGGGCCGGGCCGGGCCGCGCCTCCCCGCCGCCCCCCTCCGCCTCCCCCGGTCCGAGCGCGGCCGCACGCCGCGCACCCCTCCCCCGGCCGAGTGCCACGTAACCCCGGCGCGGCGGAGGGAAGCGCGCCTCGGCCCCTCGCGGCGGCAGGGCACGGTCTCGCTCGCGGGGACGGCTGCGGCGGGCAGCGCGTCTCCGCGCCGAAGAGGGCGTTCCCGGAGGGGCCGGGCCCCGGGGAGCGGGGACGCGTCGCCCGCCCGGGCTCCGCCGTACGGCCGCGATCGCGGCACCGCGCTGCCGCCCGCCCCCGGGCCGCCCGGGCTGCCGGCGGAGGGGAGGAGGGAGCGGGAGCCTCACCTCGAACATGAGCCCCAGCAGGAAGATCATGGCCATGCACGAGACGATGTCGGCGTGGTTCTGCACGATGAACTCGTGGCTCAGCACCGGCGGGTTCTTGTTGCTCTTCTTGCGGATCGCCATGGCGGGCCGGGAGCTGGGCGCCGCCGCCTCCCCGCTGCCAGCACAGCTCTCGCCGCGGCCAGGAAGAGGCGGGTGGGAGGAGGCGGCCGCGCAGCAGAGGAATGGCAGCAGCCGCCGCTTCACCCCGCCCCGCCCGCCGCGGCCCCGCGCGGCCCTTCCTCCGCTGCCCGGCCGCCGGGAGCGGCCCCCGCCGCCGCCCGCCAGCGCCCCTGCCGGCCGGAGGGGTCTTCGGCCCGCGCGCCCGCCCGCGGGGAGGCGGTGGCCCCGCGCTTCACGGCCCCCGACGGCTGCCTGAGGGGCGGCCGGGGCTCCTCGGGCGGCGCAACGTGGCTGTGGCTGCCCTGCGGCCCGCGCTGGGCCCGGCTCCTGCGCTGCCCAAAGCCGCATTCGGTTTCGTTCTCCTCCCTCTCTCTGGCGAAGTTTAGTTTCCATTAGGCCGTTCCTAGCTAGACGTCGGGTGAACGAAGGATGCCGTTAGGAAATGGAACTCGCTGCGTTTGTTATGGTTACGGCTAGGGCACGGCCTCAGGGTATGAAGTAACAGCAGATTCCTGCCAGCCCATAGCCTGGAACAACGCGCATCCAAACAAGCTGGAATCCCAGGACAAGAAAAGTTATCCCATTAGAGGGGCAAAAAAAAAACCCACCTCTAAATCAGAAATATGGTATGGAGAAGAGACATCAAAAGCCTGTGAATTAAAAAAAAAAAAAAAAAAAAAAGCAAAAATCCCCCAACCAATTGCCCCAAAACAAAAGCCTGTTCTTATTTTAAAAAAGATACATATATGAGAAAGATCAGCACAGATGGAGGAAAAAAAAAAAAAAAAAGGTAAGGCAAATAAAGATGTCCTCAAAAGGTCATCTCTTCCCCCCAAAAGGTTATACTGACTTCTTTTATTAAGGCTTTCACCTGACAGACACTCCCACTAGAGAACAGTCTCCAGAGTAACTGGTGGCTGAAGCTGAGTGTTGTCAGGGTGGGTTCTGGCTTGCCAGAGCAGAGTGCACACCACATCCAGGCCATGACCAGCTTTCTGAATGACACCTGCCAATATAAACTAAATTTATGTTCAGGCTCAAGCATTAAATCAAGTCTTTCCAGAACCAGAGCTACACTACAACAAATAAAATCTGTGAAGATGCTCAGAAGCTACAATTTATTAAATCATGGAGACAGGTATACTCAGTAACTGGAGATGGTCTGGGATACTTAGAATACAGAATAAACTACTTGTTTTTTTTCCTTAATATATGAAAGTAGTTCAAATTGAACAAGCATTCCTGTTTCAGTACCAATATATTTTTTTCAATCTTAGGAATCCCTCCATCTCTTGGCCATATATTTTGTAATTCTAGAAAGAACATTATTTCAAAAATGATGATGTGAAAGTAGATCCTCAATTGCATTCCACATAGTTACAGATGCAATATAATGCAGAAGTGAAGTACACTGAGTTAGGATAAAAAATAAAAAAATTCTTTTTTCAATGTAGTCTTGAATTTATTACTCAACTCCAACCTTAAAAGAAAACAAGTCCATAGAACTTAGGGAATGGGATTTAACTATCTGGGATGGGACATCCTTTTCAAGCAATAATCAGCAAATGCTCTTAGTGGATGGCTACTGTCGTCTTCTACACACAGAGATCGTCTTGGTTTCAACTGGCTTTTTGTGTTTATTGATACAAACCACTACACTGAAAAGGAAAATAAAGCAACCCACTGCCTCATCTGAGTGTTTTCCACAGATTCCTCTTATTGGAGATCTCTCTTCTGCCACATGATGTTTCTTAAGGTGCTTTAGGCAAAGTGTTATGATCTGGAATACCTGTCAGTCCTCAGTCTACTACTTGTCAGTGGGCTGTTGGTCTATGTTTGCCAGCTTTTGTCCCAGATTTCCAGATATTGAAAGACTACACTTCAAAATGAGCTTAGGAAGGAAGTCTGAAATCTATTTCAGGTTGGAAGATTGTGGGGGATTTAGTAGTAACCATGTTACTGCACCTGACATAACAGATACAGACAGAACAATGCCCTTCCTATTTGGGAATTTTTCAATCGTCAATTATGCTTGAAAACATACTTAAGAACGACATTTCTTAAGAAAAATAAAAACTTAGAAGCAGAATGGGAAACTTGAAAATGTTATACCTACTGTCAAAATTATTTCCTAGTTCTTAAACCTAATAACCTACATTTCTGTGTGCTACGTCTCAGGACAGCATATTAAAACTACCCAATTTAGTGCTCCTTCAAGATTCCGTCCCAGCTGTTTACAAAGTTAATGCACTGAACAACATTTGCCCTTCCATCTTGATGAGACAGAAATTGCCCCTTCTCCTTGTTTTTATTCTCAGTCCTAAATAGATTCTGCACAGACAATGGATTCAAGGCAGGGGTTGGAAACAGGCTGATCCTCATTTTTATACACACATGGCTTATAGCTTGCTGTCCCATTTTTAAACAAACCTAAAATCTCATAGCAAGGAATCTTATGATTTGTGCAATGTCACAGATGCAAGTATATGTCTTAGTAAAGCAACCTCTGTTTTTAATATTTCAGAGACACCATATATATCACAAAAGACAACTCAAGTCTGGTCAAACTGCTATTTCCCTCATCTTTCATGAACTTTAGGTGTTGGCTGCATGACAGCGTGGAATATGTAATATAGTTCTTTGCATCACATCTCTTTCTTCACTGTCTGCAATTTAACTCAGTTCTGAAGAATTTTCCATAAACACAGTCAAACAGAAGAAAATGGTTCAGTGACATTTTGGATGCCAGTAGACTTCTTTAGCTTGGAAGGTGATGAGACATCATCACTTCATACCAAACCCTTCTGTGTTTTAGGTTCTCAGGCTTCCCACCATGACAAAACTGTACCATTCCAATTAAATTTCTCTTCTCCTGAAGCAAAAGGCCATCATTATGAACAAATGTTATCAACTTCATCAGATACTGATAACTATTAAGCAATGCCTACTAAAAACATACGCACGTTCCACAAATGAAGATAAAGGATTGAACTTGAAAGGTTCTCAAGGATTTTCAAGAATGTATATTTGTCTTTAGTACCTTTAAACATCTCTTTCAGGTTGGACCAGCATTAAAAAAGTGAATCAAAAACATGTTAAATGCACAATATAATACAAACATTTATATATTACTCTGGAAGCTACACAGAAAACTGAAGTTTAAATTCATCTTCAAACATATTTTACTACACTATACAGTATCTTACAATCAAATACAACCTTTAGTTAAAGTATTTGTTCTTTAAATGGTGTTAGTAACAATTCTAAGCTTGTTATAAAGTGATAGAAAAACACAACTTCATATTGTTTACAATATATATCTCAATTTAAGTAGCTTTTTAACCACATTCTTGCAGAAACTTAGAAGATATAGAATTAAAGCCTAATGCTGTGCATGTTTTGACATTAATTAGGTGAAATTAATGATCCTTTAAATTTCACAGAAATGGTGTTTCCATGAGCAAACAGATATATCTGGAAGTACTCTCAGTCAAAACATACTGCAGTGAGGTGCCAGCAAAAACGTGCACAGACAGTTACATTATGGAAAAGAATATGAAAAACAGTATTTCCACTTGTTAGCAAAAATTGGTTGTTTTTAGAATTTACAGAGAAGTTACCATCAGAATCACTTTTTGAAAAGCACAATGAAAGCAGCTTAAGTATCTGATCTTCGTTCTTTTTACTGCAGATTTGTTTTTACATTCTCCAATTTATGAAGCTTAATAAACATCACTTTTAAATTGTTAGAACCTAAAAAACAAGTGAAAGACTTTTACTTCACATATCGTCCGAGCTCATCGTTCTCTTTTTCCATGCAGCAACTGTGCAGACTGAAAATGATCTCGAGCAATCTTGTATAAGCTACAGATTGTTTCTCCATCTGAAGCTGGGAGATGCATCACGTACTGTTAAGATAAAGAGGCCAAATTAGTCACAAGCTAACACTTAAATGCTACGTATAAGCAATAGACTATCTCAATCTGCACATGTCTGTATATGGCATTTTTGATGGAAGATGACCAGGTTGGCTATTAAAATGCTTTCCTGCAGGCCAGTGCTGCATTTTAGTGGAAACTGATAAACACTGACTGTTTCACAATCACTGTTTTTAGTGATATTAATTAAAAAAAAAATGGGTTTAATAATCCTGCAGTTATTTAATGTTCAGGATATTTAATAATATATAATTGCTAGACAGTAATAAATTTGAGGTAGAGGAACACTTGTTGCATTTTGTGACATTTATGAACTTGAGAAGTGTGCTGTTAAATTTATAGCAGTTAAATTATTTTTTTTATCGCTCCAACTGTATTTTAAGAACTTGAAACAATGACAATATTCCAAATGTGGGAGAGTTACATGTATGTATCGTGCAATGCTCCTGTATGCAAGGCATTATTTTTCTGTCTAAAGTGAGAAAAACAAATGAGTAAAAGCCATTCTCACTCCTAATTGAAGCTATAAAAATTATGTACCCATATAAACTGCAATCCCTAGGATGAAGTGGTAAATTAACGACTGTGGCAGGAAGCATATGGCCATAATCTGCATGGAGCAGCACTCCAGTAACAGTGGAATATGCCTGTCTTATTCATTACCAACACCAACAACACATTTCTTTGAGATAATATTTTGTGAAAATTAAGCAAACAGCAGTTTGCCTACAGCTCCTGTCTTCCATCGCAATAACAAAATCTGAAATACTGTAAATCAGACTACATGTAAAGTGAGTATGCAAGCATTTGTATGCTACACCTTGAGAACCAACAGAATCAATTTTCCTTAACACATGTGCTTAACTTGAACTGAAAAATCAGCAGTGGTCACATGATGTTAAGTGTATATCACAGGTCCAGGTCTAAGCTCACACTGAAAAAGTTAGCAACTATTTTCTAGGCTGTAGAGCTCAGCACACAGATGCCTCAAGTTTTCTGATGAGATGGCTTTCTTTCTTGTCTGTGAGCATGAAATGAAGATCAAAAACCAAACCAAATCTAAAACCCTTAAAAAGCACTTCTTGGGCTCCTCGGAAAGCAAGAGAAGGCAGCAAAATTGTGTAAAAGACCCATAAAAATTATTCTGATCAGTTATCTTCTAGTTACTACAACTCTCTAATGTCTTCAAGCAGATGCTACTTTGTGAACAGGTATCTGACTGAAGCTCCTTATCTGCTATCTCTTCAGCCTTCAGAGGTGAGCACCTTTTTGAGGAAAATGTTGTCCATAAGTAAGTAACTTTGAGAAATTAATTCCTCAACATTCAAGATACATACACACAGCCTACTGTATGAAAGGCTGCAGTTCTACAGCTGAAGAGAAAATGAATTTATCCACTACTTCATCTATACATAAAATGCTGTTGCTTGAGCTACTCCAGCTGTAAAATGGAAGAGATAAGTTCAGTCAACAGCATCTGATACCCTGGAGTAACTCTGTGTAGCCAGGTTGGAGAAACATGTAGGTTTGTGCTCAGTAAGGTGAGTCAACAACCAAGAACTGAAATCAGATTTAAAAGCTGGTGCAGTGCCTGTCAGTGAGTTTACATGGCATTCTGAATGAAGTGCACATAAAGATACTATATTTAAACTTCAACAAAAACTGTTTGCATGATTCCAGTCCATTTTCTTGGAATGAATATCATGTCATAATAATAACAAAAATTCTCTCTCAATTTTTCAATCAGTACTGAGCCTACCAGATGATTATTAAAATAAACAGGATGTCTACAATCGAAAAAAAGGCACCAATTTCACAATTGTCATCATTTACCAGTGTAAACAATTTTGAACAGATTAAAATGTTCGTGTAATTGCTTAATTGTGGACAGTTCTGTGTGTACTTATGTAATGTACAGAAATAAATATTTTCCTCAGCTCATAGATGAAAGCACTTCCAATTGCTCCTGCCATTACAGAAATAAAATACTTCATTTTGTTCACTAAAGGCAACAATGTAAAAATAATAAACTAAATATAGTTGCTCTGCTTAAGTACCGTGTTAATCAGAAAATGAAAAAAGTAACTCTGCCTGATTTTAACCACCCCCAGAACACACATATACAACAATGCACAATGCACGAAATGCAATCCCATAGAATGCTACGTACATGCATAGTTAGGTATAAGTTTCAGAAGATACACAGAGGTATAAACACTAGCACTACGAATATATTCCATGGTAAGTTCTAAATCAAAATTTAAAGCTATATGCATTGCGGTGATCAGTACTTTGAGCATGTCACACGTTATAAAATGTTTTCTACGAGTATAGATACATCAAACAACCATAGGCTTTTAGTATCTACTTCAAATTATCTGAATGACAGCTGCTGTGTGATGAGTAAAATGCAGTTTATCTCTTCTTCCTCCCCTCACTCTGGAAACAGCATCACAGAATGGCCAGGACCTCAAGGATCATGAAGCTCCAACTCCCCTGCCACATGCAGGGCCACCAACCTCCACATTTAATACTAGACCTGGCTGACCAGGGCCCCATCCAATCTGGCCTTGGACACCTCCAGGAATGGGGCATCCACAACCTCTTTGAGCAGCCTGTTCCAGCACCTCACCACACTCATAGTAAAGAAATTCCCCTTGACATCCAACCTAAATATGTCCTCCTTCAACTTAAAACCATTTCCCCTTGTCCTGCAGTTATCTACCCTTTCAAAGAGTTGATTCCCCTCCTGTTTTTAGGCTCCCTTTAGGTACTGGAAGGCTGTGATTAGGTCACCCCACAGCCTTCTTTTCTCCAGGCTGAATAAGCCCAGCTCCCTCAACCTGTCTTTGTAGGGGAGGTGCTCCAGTCCCCTGATCATCTACACAGAAAATCAAAATAGAAATGACTACCTTTACATCCCACCATCCCCAACTTACACACTTTTCCTTCTTTTTCCAACTTCTTCAAGTGGACTATGAGGTTGTTTTCTGCTGCTAGAAGTAAATTTTCAGGAATTTCCTAATGGGAACACAAAAATATGTTTTGTATTTGTTTAAGTATCTCCCAAATATATATTTAATACATTGATATTGTTTATTAATATAGCTTTCCCTCTTCCCATTACTGTGTTGCACATTTAGTTAACTATCCAGTGACTAAAACCCGAAATGACTAAATTAATTTAAAACCAGTTAAACAGCAGACTATAAAACATTTCTGATTATTGTGCCCATTTTTTGCATCACACACTTTCATTATTCAAGCTTTGGCCAACTCTAAGACTGTATTTGTCTGAGCTTGGTCTACACTTGGTTGTCAGTGTAGCTGAACATTTTTCCACAGGTTTCAATGACAAAACCAAAGATGCATTTTTCACAGATACTGATTACTTCTATTTCTTAACAATATTTGCATGGATTTTAATATTCTTTAACAACTAACATCCATAAATGTGTAAGCAATTCAAAAATACAGCTTCAGGAGGACAAAGCGTATCTTAAAATTTTTCACTGCTTCATAAGTAATAGCCAACAATATTCCTCAAAATTCCCGTCTGCTGCGTTATCTTCATATATATAAAGCCTTTTTATAGAAAATTTAAAAAGTTCTTCTCCAAGATCTGAAGTAAGGAAGAAACTCCCTAGAAAATTGTCTCAATAAATTGTGAATCTCTAAAAAGCTTTGAAAAAACTTTAGTAGTTTTATTAGTACTGAAAAAGTCTCTTATAACATAGTGACAGGAAAAATGGTTTGTGATTTACAGAAGCATGAAGATGGCTCTACACTTACAAAGTGAAAGAAGCAAATAGCCACAGACAATGGTACATCAGCAATGCAAAATGTTCAGTGTGACTTGCATTCTCTCCTTTGGAAACTGGGGCTTAGTAGAACCATGAAAAAAATAATTGTGAAGCTGCTACAGACCTCTTCACATACTACAGCCATTGGCAATTATGATATCTTCCTCTGAAGCTGAAGTTGCATCTCTTCAATGTTTGCATCTCTTTATATTTGCTAAATGTGATAACTCCCACTCCACACGTACAAATTACTGAGGTTATATGAGGAATGAAGTAGGGATGCTTGTCTAGTGACACACATGAGCTACCTGATATCTGAGCGCAATACCTATCTTTGCAAAACTGCAGACTGATGAATGAAGACAAGTCAACAATTAACAGTAATCTCACACTTTTCAAGTACATCCAAGCACTACAGTTGTATTTTAGCTCAGCCCTATGAAACCAAGTTTAAGGTTATCTATGTAGCGGATTAAGAAATTTGCAAGGATCATCTGAGCTCCAATCAAATCCAATGCACTGCTTAAACAATGCTATTTAAAATACAAATTTTGAACAGGCAGAAATCTTTCAATGTTTTTCTTCTTCTTCTTCTTCTTCTTTTTTTTTTTTTTTAACTCCATCATGATCTTCAATCAAACATTTAGGTTGCTACATTCAATTTTAGGAACATACTCTCAATTTTCTTTAGTTAAATCTAAAAAACTTCCATCAATAATTACCTTATATACTATCTTTACAAGCTCTGAAGATGTATATGATTTTCCAGTGTTCTTCTGGAAAACATTCAGAATTTGCTGTTCACGTGCATTTCGGTGAGAAATGTATCCTTGAATTCTAGCATTTGCATCACGGACGACTGGGCCATGACCTAAATTGAAACACATGCACCAGAGTGCTGTTACTTACATTTGGATTTAAGGACGCTACAGAATAATTGACTCATTCTTATATAAACTTTGGTAGGCTTTAAGAACTGTATGAGAGGAACAGCACCTGTATGCGTCACTCTGAGCATCCTTGGTGCAAAACTATAAGATGCTCTTCACACTATGCATTTTTTTTTTCATCATATAAAGAGATTGAAATTAAGTTTGAGTGTCTTCAACACAACCTGCACTTCAATAGGATTTGGATGGAAAAGGAGAATTAGGAGATCTCAAAAGTCTGAATGTGTAAAAGGAATGCTTTTGATAAGATAAAAAAAGACTACTTCATACTGCTTAACACAAATGCAGAAAAAAAGAGTTTACTACTGAATAGATTGAGATGAGAGATGAGAGATTATTATATTACATCTGCTTGTCTCACCCTCTACAAAGGATATTGGTATTGGTTTAAATTGAAACTGGTCTCTGTAAAGTAATGACTGAGGCAAAGTCTCACATACTGTACTACCATTCCAGTAACAAACACCAGCAAACACAGAGGTGAAGTAAGTTAAGTTGCGAGAGATACATTTTCCATGACATATCTTCAGAACTCACTCATACACGGTTTTGCGTTAATATTTGTAACATGCTTTTTATAGCAAGGTTTCTTATATCTTTACTTGCATGCATCATCTAAAGTAGCAGCATCAACTTGTGGTTCTACCAGTCTAAACTTGGTCATTTTTTTAATAAAACATTACTTTTCTTTAAAAGTAAAATTAACTTTCCTTTAAAAGTTATTCGTTACCATCCCAACCGATTTCCTTTGATGCTCTTGGCCTGTTTCTGAAAAATCATCATATTCTCTACTCGTAGTTTTGGATTGACTGACCAAATAAGTTTTTAGCTTTCAGGTAGTTTAAATTACGGCTTATTTCACCTGAAGACAGGCACCTTATAGAAAAAGAGCAAATAATTTTTCATAATCTGAATACCTTTATAAATAAATTACAAAAAAAAAAAACCACAACAAAGAAATCTATGTTTTAGCATGTGTCAAAAGTTTCTTAACTTGTACACTCACTTCAACAGACTTGAAGTAAAAAAATTATCAATAAAAGATATCCCAGAATCATAGTATGGCCTGGGTTGAAAAGGACCACAATGATCATCCAGTTCCAACCCCCCTGCTATGTGCAGGGTCGCCAACCAGCAGACCAGGCTGCCCAGAGCCACATCCAGCCTGGCCTTGAATGCCTCCAGGGATGGGGCATCCACAACCTCCTTGGGCAACCTGTTCCAGTGCGTCACCACCCTCTGGGTGAAAAACTTCCTCCTAATATCTAACCTAAACCTCCCCTGTCTCAGTTTAAAACCATTTCCCCTTGTCCTATCACTATCCACCCTTGAAAAAGCTGTTCCCCCTCCTGTTTATATGCTCCCTTCAAGTACTGGAAGGGCACAATGAGTCCTTCCTGGAGCCTTTTCTTCTCCAATCCCAGTTCCCTCAACCTTTCCTCATAGGAGAGGTACTCCATATGTTAAGGCCAATATAAAACTGTATTGTACATGTACTTATTTTTCATGATTTTGATTATATTTAATCTGAATTTATTTTTCCTTACAAAAAGAGTTATAAATATAACAGTAGCCTTGTAAACTATCTTTTCAAAAGTAACTTAGACTCTGTGTCAGAGAGCTCCACATTTGAGACCTCTGTATATCCCAGGTGATCACACATTTATTCTTATAGCATCCTGTAAAGTAATATAGGTTCTCTTGTTTCATCCATGAGAAATGGAAGCAAGAAGGATAAAACTAAAAGAAAAGAATTGGCTCCTGAAGTCTTGCACAGATTTCTAACTACTGTACCATTTTTTTCTATGCCATCAAGTAGCAGTGTTTATTATTACAGGTTAGGGCGCCCTCTGCTGGCCAAAGGGCCCTTTTCTGTTCCCAAGGATTCTCACCAACCACGAGCAGTAAAATACTGTAATGAGAACTTTGCCCGAAGTCATTTCAATGTGACAGTAAAACAAACTATCTTCTGCTACGGTTTTTACTATAGAACATACCAATAACATAAACAATTGTTTTGGCTTGGCAATAACTATCTTTTACACAACTGCACATCCATTCTATGATGTGTGGATAAAGAAACAAAGTTATTTATAAATCATATCAACACCTAGCTACCCATCAGTGAAAATGAGTAATGTCCTACTGTCTTCATAGTTGCAAGCAGAGCATGAACATATTTGCAGTAGTGTTGCAAACGGTTACGAATAAATGGGACAAACATTCAACCTTGGTGAATATGTAATCTAGATAAATAATGATGAAGGAGAGAGTGAGATACAGCAGATAGAAGTGATAAACCAAACACAATTTGGCATATGTGGGGTTTTTGGAAGACAGAAATTCAATTAAAGGAACATATTGTGCTTTGCAGGTTTTAAGAAAAAAAAAAAGTAGAACATTTCATTGATCAATAGATTGAGATTCAGAAGCTCAAATATTCTTAGTTTTACCAGTAGTTTAGTCCATTACTAAAAGTACTATTTATGTTTGTTTGTCAGCCTCCACATCCATGGAATACATAGAATAATAGTTTCTTAAATTGCATTTAAAAAAATAGATCTAAGCATTTTTATGATCTTAGATCTTAAATATCTACTATATCTGTATTAAAAAAGAACACAAAAGAGATTTGGCTATGTAGGCTAAACATAGTTAATGGATGTAGACAGAAATGAGAATGTAGAAAGTCACTCTGACTAGTTGAAAAAGATGAAACAGAAAAGGTCAGAAAAATTCCTGAGATGTAACTGAGAAGGAAAGTGAAGAGGATAAACCTTCGTTACATCACACATTCTTAAAATCCATTCTTCTCAAATAGACACGTAGTTTATACAAAAAATAAACACATCTTCCCCAAACCTTGGGAATAAGAAGGAAAAAATGAAAAGCAGAGTTTTAGACTGAATCAATCAGCAATTTATTTTTAGAACATGATGTTTGACTTGTTGGATCTTGTTCCTATTAAGCTAAGTCATTAACTAACATAACCATTTGACAGTTCTGCAGTCTTCCAAGATGAATTTGTGATTAATCTGTTGCAGTGGACACACTTCTCTCTCAAAAAACACTGCATAGTGGCTGAGTACATGGGCTGCAGAGGACCAAAAGGACAACTATTTTTTTCTTCTAGGGTAACACTGGTCACAGATCGGTTAATGAAAGAAAAGCCAACTTCTTATATGATTTCAACAGTCAAAGATCCTGGCTTCTGCATGCTTTTAATGCAGAAAGAACAAGAATCACTCTCAAAGGAAGAAATCATGGGAAAGAAAACTATCTGTCATGGAGAGATTTTTAAGTGTCACAGATATCCAAGCCATTAACTCAGTTTAGAACCAGGCATACATTCAATATTGAACATGAATTGTTACATTAATAATGGTGTTTGACTGTAGGAGTTGATACAGTAAAAAAATAAAAAAATAAGTAAGAATTATATAATATATATATAAAAATATATATATAATCAAAACAGAACCACTAACCTGGATATATTAAATCTGGTTTCATTTGCAATAACATTTTCAAACTTTTCATGTAATCATACAGGTCTTCAATTACTGTTGTTCCTTCCCCTAAAATACAGTCACCAGAAAATATAGCATTTTCCTCTTCTAGATGTAAAGACATATGATCATCAGTGTGCCCAGGTGTATATAAAACTCTGTTTAAAGAAAAACAACAAAAAAGTTTAAGACTTTCATTCAGCAGTCATACAGAACTACCTTCATTTCCAGATGCTTAAAACAACAGTGATAAAATCATACCCTTCCAAAGGAACCTACAGGAAGAATCACAAAAGGCATCGTACTGAGAATTTCTAAGTGTCAGTGTAAACACAGTGTTATTTTGTTTAATCTCAGTCCATTCTCTTATACCAAATAGAGAACACAGATGACCATCCATAATGTTCTTTGTCTCAGTTAACACATCACAGAGGCAGTGCATTAGTGCAGCTGGCTAGTGATGTAAAACTTCTGTCATAGAGGGTTTCACTGTGATAGTTTAAGAAAGAAAAAAAATGACAATTTGTTTTCAGATTGAAAAGTTCCTGACATACACATTACACTTAGCAAAAAAAGGATAAGGGTGATGTTGCTGATTCTCTGAGAAATTCCTTGTACATTAACAGACATAACACAAATAATATTCTGTCTTCCCATATTTATTTTACCCTGAAGGCCTCATGACACAGTGGGCAGAACTGTAAAATACAAGGACCGGTGGTCTTTTAGCTCTTCTATGTGCAGGTCATGAAACGTCTGAAAGGTATGGATTTAAGACACCACAGCTTGGTGAAATACTGTACTAAAGACAGTTAAAAGACATATAGTAATCAGAGCTGCTAAGGAGCTGCACTAGTTTTTGAAAGGCAGAAATCCTCTGACTCAAGCTCAGACCAGCATCGCTGCTCTAATTCAACAGAATTTACTTGTCAATGGGATGCACAGAACTGGTGCCAAGCACAGCATATAAACTAAAGCTAAACAGCCCCAGACACTTCAGCACAGGGCTGGGAGGCCAGAAGCACAGCACTGATGCAGTGGCTCTCAATTCTGGAATACCGAGTGCTGTGGAAAGCAGGTGAGTCATCACCCTGCTGAGGCAACAGAAAATCAGGTGAACAGCTTTCCTAATGGAACTTCACCAGGAAGTTTTAATACTAATATGCAAAATAAACAAACATGAATGAAACTGACACAGATTGGCATCCTCCTTGAAAAACTGGAAGTTGCTAACTAGAAATGAAATGTGCTGACACTGCTGCTTTAGAACCAGCAGGGCATCTACGAGTATCCTTAGCCAGTTGAGATTATATGCTCTTAACCAAGTATAAAGGTTGGTTGCATAACTGCATACTTCAAAATGTACCACCTCCAGATTTGTTTGGAATTAAATTAGAAGTTAACATTTTAATGCTAAAGAATTAATGTTGTAATGTTTCCTTGAGAAGCATTTTATGATGTTCACAGAGATCATTATGAACATCACCAAAGTATCAATTTCACATCATAACTATGTATCTAACAGTAAAGACAAGTTACATAAAATCCTGCGTGGTTTTTCCCTAAGGAAATATTCCCCAAGGAAAGCATTTCTCTGGTGAGGCCAAAGACTAAAGGCTGATTCCTCATCAGAACAACTTCTTTGCATAAACACACCCTGCTGAGTCATGACAGGAAGACTACAGTTTGGCAGGGTCAGACACATGGATTACATATATGCACCAGATTTCTGAAGAAACAAATAATCAAACAAAGCTGCAGAAATTGCTGCTTACCTGAGTGTGGCTCCCTCTGTCTGTATCACATCCCCATCTTTAAGATATAAATATTTATGTCCTCCATCTCCTATTATTTCTTCACAGTGAGGGACACGAGGAAGCTTACAGATGCGATATTCAGAGTCTATTTAAAGAAAGCAAAGAAAATAATTATTTGTATTTTGTCACTAACAAAGCTAATAGCACAGAATTACTTATACTTTTTGTAGATGTACTATAAATTATTACACTGTATGAAAGCAAATCTTCAGGTAAACAATGGTAACCAGTAATTCTATGTTTATAAAAAAAACTTTCTTCTAGAGTCAGAAACATAGAATAGAGTAGTGAAGGCTCTGAATTTTATATACCATACTCTGTACCAGCAGCAATTTTGAAGAGTAAAAAGCATGAGTGAAATTAATACATAACTATGTGTAAGTGACATTCCAGTAATCATTACATTTTGAAAATGTTGTTCCTTATTGACTCATCATGAGCAAAAAAATAAGTCTGTGAAATAGCATTCAAGTCCAACATTATGATTCACAGAAGCACTACTCAACATTTATCTAACACCAAACAGTTTGACATGAATTCTCCCTCAGCATCTTTCATTCTAAATTGCGCATGTTTTGATTGCCTTGGCTACAGACAGCATGCAATCCCAAAATTAGGCACTTATACCCCTTGCAAGTCTTAAACTTTAAGGAGTTAATAAAATTCTCACTAAGACATCCATGCTGGTTTCAGTATTGCCAGAGCTTTTTTGAAGATATGCATCTGGCAACTTGACAAGATCTGATAAAGACTGTGACAAAGTCCACTGAAGCTAAGATGAGCTGCATTATCTACATTGCTTACTCTGTTCTATTAATATCTTCTCAGCTATCACTACAGAATATATACATTCAGAATATATCACATACAGAATACTTGACATTACAGTTTATCATAAGTAACATCCCTACCTTCTTCTCATGATTTGAGGCCTAAAAGTTTGCCATGGTCTACGGGATGAAGTCTCAACGTTATGCATGTTTTTTTTAAAGAGATTATTTATTGCTTTTTTCACAAGTAAAAATAATAGGCAGTTTGTCACTACTGTCAATGCAGAAAGGAAAAAGCGCTGTTATTCTCACGTCTTTTGATAATATGCAAACTGCTCATTATTCACTTGTAAGAAAAATTCTTTGTGAAGTTACACGCAGCTACTGAAGAAAGATACAGTACTATAATTATGAAATGCAGACTATTCACTGTCTCACTCTACACATTATAGTGGTACAGTGAAGTTGCATGTGGATTATGTGGAGATTGCAAAACATTATTCCAGTTGTTGTACAAAGAATCAGTCATTTTAAGTTGCTTCTTGCCACATATCTTGCAACAAGATCTGAAAGCTGTGGCCTACCATTCGGGATGTTTGTGCAGATGTCAGGTATTCCACCAGTATGATCACGATGCCAGTGTGTAACTAAGATCTCCTGAATTGAGATGTTGAACTCGGACAGGGCCTGCTTCAAACAGCCAATATATTCAGGAATAGCTGGCTCGCCTGTGTCAATAAGGATTCTTCTGCACATGGGCCAAGAAAAAAAAAAAGAAAGAAAACAACCACAGAGTTTAAAGTGCTTGTGTGAGTTAAACAATGTTTAAAAATAAAGAAAAAAAAGCAACCACATCACTGCACGTTACTGTGGCAACAGTAGAAATCCCCAACTAAACTTTACTACTGTTTCAGCTTTTTTAGTCATTAGAAGCAACACAGTTTTCAATCCGCAGTCCTTACACACGATCACAGTTTACTTCCACCACCGACAGAGCACGGCCTTGGCTCCAGCACCCTCCCCGTCGGCTGCACCACACCCGGGCAGCCTCACCCCGGCTATTACACACGCACACCGCCCAGCCCCACGCTGCGCCGATCCCTGCCACCGGGCCGCTACCTGAGCCCGGTGCCCACCAGATAGGTGTTGGTGCCCTGCAGAGTCATAGGCCCCGGGTTGCAGCCCAGCACCCGCACCACGCGCGACGAGAGCTGCTCGATGCGCGGCAGCAGCGACGCCATGTCCGCCGCTCGGCCTTCCCGCCGCCGAGGAACAGCCCGCGGGAAGGCGGAAGCGCCGCTCCGCCTCGCACCGCCCCCCGGCCCCGCCCCTCCCCCTGAGGGCCCTCGTGCGCTGCGGGGCGGCGCCGACTGACCGCGGGAAAACGTCCGTGGGAGCCTCTGACAGTCGCCTTTCTGCTGGCGTTGTTAGAGACGTTGCGGCAGGCAGCTTCCCTCCTTAAAGAGCCTGCAGAAGGAGGATGAATACGATTTAAGCTGAAATTAAAGCAGGGAGGACTAATGTAGGCAACTTCAGCGATACTACAATCTCAAGGTCTGCGCTGGTCTCACTGTTTATACATATGAAGGCTCCTATGTATTACATACAGCCTAAGAGTTACAATATGCATAGTTAAACAGTGTTATGAAATAAATGTCATTCAGTAATAATAAAGATACAAGACAGAAAAGTGTTCTGTGGTAACTTTTTTTTTTTTTAACTTAAAATTTTAAATGTTCATTGTATGAAAATACACGCAATCTGAGGCTGTCTTACAGGGTTTGCATAGTCGGATTTGCAGGTCATATTCCCCGTGCTTTCTGAAGGGGCACGTATCCCCAGATACAGTCTTGAGACGCATGTTTCCAGAAGGCCTGTAAGATACAAACAACGCAGTGTGTCTTGGAACTGAAAAACTAAACTCCAATGGACTTTCACAGCAAGTAATACATGCTATATATACCAGGAGATGAGTTACTGGAGAGTTCACACATAATAAAGGTCTGCATGTTTCCATCTATGACAGACTGGTGTTCCCCACTCCTGTGCAGTGTCTCTCCTCTTCCCATTGCAAGCTCTCATTCTGCTGCAGATCCACCCGAGGTGTTTGGCTTCCTGGGCAGTGGCGAGGCAGAGGATGACAGCTGGCAGGGAGGCAGCTCCAAGGCAGACCTGGTTACCTGCCTGTCCTTGTTCTGCTTGTTGGTGTCTGTACACAACTCAGCTTTTTCAGCTGGCATCCAAGGTTAGAGAGCAAACAGTGTTTTCAGCTACCAGGTCAGACAGCAGCGCTGTATCTTTGTTGTTCAGGTGACAACAGCATGCTTGCCTCTATGCTGTTTCGTCAGTGCTAATTTAGCTGCATGTTAGTGCACTTAAAGTACTAACCAGCCTTCAGCTGTTCAAACAGTATGCATTATTTTCAGTCCCTCATTCTGCAAAACAATCTGTTCTGTGATGCACAAGAGGCTTTATGGCAGCGTGTTGTGCAGGTCTGTCTATGCAGCAATTTGAAAAACCTACTCCTGGGCATGGACTTTAACAGCAACTGTTAATTGCTAGGCATCAAAAAAGCCACAGACAGCAATTGGACCACAGTACAGATACTAGACAACCCTATGTTTAGGTCTTCAAGCCAATCTCTGAAGCATTCCTATCAAAACATTAAGTTCACTTTTTTTTTCAAACTCACTGAAGCATGATACACTGACATCAGAAAAGGATATTTTATGTGGAAGGAAAGAGGCTTTTTTGTGTGCATGTGTGCTACTGGAATAAGGAAGACACACTATATACAAAATTTCAATATTTCAATATCTTCCCGTATCATTTCCCAGTCTTGTTTTATAAAGATGTGACTAAACCTGAAATTACTTATGAGGTACTCAATTATGTTGACTTTGTAGCACACATATATACCCACTTGCTGGTACATTCAACCCATTTTCATTCCCTAAGTGAAGTTCAGTTGCTCTGCCATTAAGCAAAAGTACTATCTAATCAAATGTGGGTGTTTCAGTGGTTTCCTATTCTGAAGACGTAGAGGAGATTTCTAAAATGAAGATTTATATGTCATTTACAACAGAGGAATAAGGCACAAGTTATTTTTATGATCACAGGTTTGATATTGTAAAAACTAAGAGCTGGGGGGAACTGCAGACTTATCCTGTGGGAATATTTACTACTTTGGTGTAAAATCGTATGTTCTATTATTAGGTGGGAGCTTGGATTCTTTTTCGTCTGTAGGTGGCAGCAGTGGGTGCCTTTGGAGAATTAATTCCAGGTTCTTTCTTTCATTGTGGTCTTCATTTCCTGCACAAGCCCACCAGCTTAAAGTTTAATGTTTCTCTTATAAAATGGGGATAGTAGGCATGCATTGACAGTCTTGCTCTTATACTCTCTAATTTAGTACAATCGCATGTGAGTGCAGAGCCTCAAGATGTTCTTTGGTTCACTAAGTTGCTGTTTCACATTGTCAATACAAATTTTTGAGGGGAAATGTAAGGGCTAGTCCTAATGAGGACCTTAGTTTCTGATATTTGAAAAAAGTTGACTACTCTGAAGGTAAAATATCCAGTGTCTTGTCAACACTAATCAAAGCAGAGAGAAAATGTCCTTCCTGCTCCATTCGGAAGCAAATATCAATATGTGTACTGAATACCATAGGATTTTTGTCATAGAGTGCTTTCTTCAATGGCAAGTCTAGCTAGAAAACAAACAGGTCGTCCAGCCAGTAATTTAGCTCATGAGTTACATGTCTCGTAAGTCCAAGGATCAGATATGCAAACCTATCTTTCAGTCTTTATTTCTCTGTGCTACAGAATTTGCGTAACTTGTTTAATAATAACAAAGGTCACAGCAATGCCTTTGTGCCTTGACTAATTTAAGATGCCTTCCCTTAAAGCCACAGGAGCTTACTTACCATTTGGACAAACAACTTGCAAAGCTTCGTAGAAAGAGATGTATTAGTAACAGGCTAAGGTCATTGAAGTTTTTCAAGGTATGAAAGAAGTCTGTGTTGTACTGCAGGGCACCTGCTTTTCACATGTGGCTCAGACTCATGGAGAGAGGTAGTCTTGGCAAAAACTGCCAACTGTAGGTAGTTTAGTCCACAGCCAGGTTGTCACAGCCTTGTCTTGCTTGTGCAGTTGCATCCATCAAACTCTTGGTGAAGTGCAAGTTATGAAGAACCAGCAGCCCAGTGCATTCCAGTGGCTTTTATGCAAGCATAAAATAAAGTCTGGAGGATAAAAGAAAGTATGGGTGTGATGCATCTCTTTTGTCTTGGCAGATATTATGCTAGTATCAGACTTTCAATTTGCTGCAAAAGCTCATGGTAGCTTAGTCACATGTAAAGGCCGAGAAGCCTGGGACTGTTCAGCCTAGAAAAGAGAAGACTGAGAGGGGATCTTAACACTGTTTATAAATATCAGCAGGGTGGGAGTCAAGGGGATGGGCCAGGCTCTTTTCAGTGGTGCCCAGTGACAGAAGGAGGGGCAACGGGCACAGACTGGAACACAGGGTGATCCATCTGAACTTGGGAAAGAACTTTAAAGTGAGGGTGACAGAGCACAGGAACAGGCTGCCCAGGGAGGTTGTGGAGTTTCCAGTCTCCTTCTCCAGTGATATTCAAAACTTACCTGAACATCTTCCTATGTGACCTGCTGTATAGAACCTGCTTTAGCAGAGGGGTTGGTCTAGATGAACATCGGAGGTCACTCCCAACCCCTACAGTTCTGTGATTCTGGAAATATTGTCCACAAATACTATATTCTAACCAAGTGCTTAAGTATTAATTTGATCATTTATAGGACTCAGCAGGTATCATTATAATTGCTGAGCTCATTCTTTCCTGAAGTCACCTGGATTTTGCTGCGGAGCAATATAAAACTGTATTTTAAATTAATGTGTTAATGATGCTCAGAACCATAATGAAGAGTTTGTTTGGCATGTATGCAGCTCTATTATCTTTGAACCATCATCGAGATTTCATAGAGGCAGAAAGATCTCTCTTTCATCTTCCAGAGGGCAAATATGGATAATGCATTGAGCTGCTGATGTCCGAAGATGTTTTCTTAATGTGTTATCTCATAGAGATGAAGGAACCACGTACAGTTAATCCAGGAATTGTGCTGGACTGTTTGGGATTCAGACACTGTTCTTTAACTTTGAAAAAATCTCAGATAAACTGATGCCTTTATTTAAATGGTACCATGAAAATACTGGCACTGCAAGAACTGCTTAGTATTCTAATCTATAGATGGGAGGGAGCACAAGAAAAGGAAAGCAGTCATCTTATATTCCCTATGACGATATTGATTTGGTTGTGTCTCCTGCCCTAAGAGCTAGAAGAGCTATAGACTGCTCTTGCTGAGGGCTTGTATCACCCTGTGCGGCACAGAAAGGCTGAATACCAACACCTGCTCATTGTATCCTGCAGCTCTTTTAAATGTGCTCTGGATTTTCTCAGCAGCATAAAGTTTGTGTTGAGTGCTGATAGAAAAGCTGGAGCAGACTCTTGCAAACACCTGCAGTTTTACCAGAGGGAAGTTTTAATCATTTGTTGCTGGACACATGCAGTGTCTTCACATATTATTAGAAATAGAAAAGCTTTTCACAAAAATTTAAAGTGCATTTTATTATATCTTTCTACTGTAGCCAAAATAATTTTTTTCATAAATCTTTGAGCTACAGAAATGTGCAAACAAATTAATAAATATTTATAAACTTCTGTATAAACACACATATATTATGTGAATACAAGAAAAACTGTTCAGAGCAGCAACTGTACAGTAAGATAAGCAGCAGGAGAACCAAGGACACCTTTAGAAGAAGAAAGTACATCTCATGGCTCTGGATTGGATAAGTGTCTGTGTGAACGGTTGAAGAGTGTTTTGTTAACATGTATAAATAGAATAGTGCTTAACAATAAAGTGGACTAACAACTTTTAACCACATTGGTGTGCTGCTATGTCTCTAGCGTGTCCTGAGAGTCCAGAGACTTCCCCACATTTGGCACCCAAACAGGGACCTCGTGGGATGATTCAGGGAAGTGGACAATGGCAGGACGGTCACCACAGACGGTTGGCACTGATGGGTGCCTTACAACCTGGTCTTCCTTCACCTGCTATGTTACCACAGGGTTGGCATATATTGGTTATAGACCTTAAGGATTGTTTTTTCACAATTCCTATTGCTGAGCAAGACTGTAAGCATTTTGCTTTCTCTGTGCCATCTATCAATAAAGCGGATCCAGCCTCTCAGTATGAATGGGTTGTACTGCCTCAAGGCATGAAGAATTCTCTGACTATGTGTCAGCTATTCGTAGCCACAGTCTTGCAACCCATTTGTAAAGC